CCAGGAAAGGCGCGGGCAGGTCGCATCCCAGGACCGGAGACTGCTCGCCAGACGCCGCCTCAGGTCCACCCGGAGCCGCCCGACACCTGTCCAGGCGGCACCTCCCGCCGGCCTGGGGACCAGAGCAGGCGTCAGAGGAGCGCCCCGGAGCCGTCCACCCGCCCCCACCCCCGCCCCAGGCCCGGGCAGCGCGCCCACCCTCGGCTCGGAGCCTGAGCGCCGGGACGCAGCAGAGGTGCCGCGGGGCCGCTCCCTCAAGCCGACGGGTCGCGTCGCAGTCCGGCCGCCTCACCGCGGGGTCCCCTTCCGCCTCTGCTCCAGCGCCGGCAGCCGCTCCTCCCGGGCCTGCGCGTGCCGGGCCCCCGCCCTGTGCGCCGCCTCTGTGGCCAAGATGTCGATCTGCGCGTAGCGGGAAGCACCGGCCCCTGCGAGCAGCCCCAGGTGAGCCGGCGGGGGCACACCCACCCCGCGCTCCGGCCAGGGCCTGAGCGCCGGCTTCGGGGCTGTGAGGGGGTGCCCGCGAGCCGCTGGCCCAGGGCCGATGCGCCCGGGGCTCAAGGCCCCTGCGGACCCACCTCGGATGCCCGCGCCGCCCTCCTGGAGCTGCAGGCCCAAGTAGTGCAGCTGCCTTGGGGGGGAAGGGCTGGCGGGGACGTTCACATATGTGGGCGCCTCACTGCACGGCCTCTCGGGTCCTGCGGGGAGAGGGGCTGTGAGTCCCCAGGCGGTGGCCGAGGCTGAGCTGACCCCCTAGACTGTTCGGGAAAGAGCTCCCCACTGCCCACCCCTCAAGTGTCCCGCTCTTCTCTCCAGGGCCTGGGGAGCCTCCCCGACTCCCCAGTTTTCCTGGCCATCTTTTCCCACCCCACCCGCGTCCCTCCCTGACCGGGGTGCCCCTGCCCCCCACAACGGGCTGACCAGGGATGCCCCCTATGGCCCGCTGGACACACGTCCATCTTCAGCCCCTGGCCGCCCACCCTCAAACATCCCTCCCGGCCACTTCCTCCTTGGCTTCCAGGTGCCCTGACCCTCCCAGGCAGGATGCCCCTCCCCCTCGGCTGTCCTCCCGGCTCACCCCATCTGCTTCAGGGACCCTCTTTGGACCGGTGAGTCCCCACAGAGCATCGTTCCCTGAGCGCAGGCCCACACTTCCATCCACTGTGACACCTCCTCCAGGGTGGCCCCAGGCACTTCAAGTCCCCTCCCCCATCCAAGAAACTGCCCCCTGCCTCCCCCATTTCCTAGAAGTCGATGGTTTCACTCAGCAAACGCCAACGGGGCTCCGGGCAGGTGCGACAGGAGTGCGACAGAAAATGCGTGCCTTAAAGAAGCCTTTCTGTGCCTTAAAGGCACAGAAAATGTGTGCCTTTCTTAAATGTGTGCAGAAAGACTCCGTGTGCGACAGAAAATGAGGCACAGAGCACACCCCCAACCTCCAGCCACGCCACCCGAGGCCAACCTCCCCCAACTTGCAGCCTCTCCCAGATTCCTAGGCCTTCCCCTGGGTCAGAGCCAGCATCTGCCCAGCCGTCACCTCTTAACGGGGCTTCTCCAAGGGGACCCCGCGTCTCCCCCTGGCTCCCTGCCTGGGCTTCCTCCCACCAAGGTCGCCAATGCCCCTGCCCACTCCTGGGTCCCCGGAGCATCGTCATCTCTGTTCTCTGTCACCTGGAGGACAAGCCTCCCTCTTAAAGGCTGCAGCTCCAGGCCAGAGCTGCCCGCTCTGACCAGGCACCGTCCCGGGCAGGCTGGCCACGCCCGGCCACCTTGTCCTCAACTCGCTGCCTGGCACCATCGCACCCCAGCCAGGGCTCACCCCGGCTGCACACTGCCGCCCTGCTGTCCACTGTCACCCCCTCCCCGGTGCACCCTCCTCCCACTGACCCCCCGCTGTCTTGTCTGGTACAGACTTTCTGGCTTGGGCTGTGACTGCGGCCACTGTGACCCCACGTCCCTTGTCCCGAGGCTGTGCCAAAGCCAAGGCCTACCTGAGTGCATCACCGGGAGCCCAGGGGGTGAGGCAGCAGCTCCCTAGACCAAGGAGAACACATGTCAGTCTGTCCATCCGGCTCCCGCTCACCCGGCACCCAGCCCAAGAGCCAGGATGCTACCCAAGAGTCACAAAGGGCCACCCGCCAGGGAGACCAGCCAGGGGCCCGACTCCTCTCCAGGGGTCCCTGCCCACCCTGACACCCACAAACCCATTTGGGGTGAGGCGTCGGCAGCTCGGGCCTCCAGAACACATCTGGCCTGGCTGCTCTCGGCAGTGTTGGCGGCCAGCTGTGCGGCACGGTTTGTAGCCATGAGATGCACGAGGGCTGTCACGTCACCCCTGGCCCCGGGCACTGCCGGCCTGCTCTAAGCAGGGCACCCCGGCTGAGCCACTCCTGGGGGCCCCGTGAGATGGGTCAAGGCCCCCAGACCGCAGGGTGGCCACTTTGAGGTGCCTGATTGGAGGTGCAGAAAGACTCCGAGAAGGAAAGGGGTTCGGGGGCTTCAGAGCTGGGGACAGTGTCTGCCGGCAGATTGGGAGGGAGGGACGGTGGCCCACTGCCGGCACGTTCACTGCTGCCTGAGCCTCCATCCCCCAAACCAGTAGGAGATGGGCCAGCCAGGGCCAGGGGCACCTGACAGGAAAGGGTCTGGCATCCCCAGCGCTTCTGAGGAGGACAGCCCGGCAGTGGGGTCTCATGGGGGGCTGCGGGCTGGCATAGGGGTGCAGAAGCCTGACCCGCTCTCTGGGAGGTCAAAGGGGCTGCCCAAACTCAGGACACAGCACCTCGACCCTGGTCCCGGCCAGGCTGCTGGGCACCTGGGCTGGCCTAACCCATCACCTTGTGTAAAGGCGCCCGGGCAGGCTTGGGGATTTGGGGAGGGTGTGTCTGACCTCCAACACCTGGGACAAGAGCCGACCGCCCTCAGGAGCCCCATCGCTAGCTGCTCAGAGCCCCACCCACAGACGGCACCTGCTGTGCCGGCGGCAAGCCCTGCGGGCACAGCGTCAGACCCAAAGGACGAAACCACGTGCCGTGGGAGATGAGCAAACGCGGCGCCTCCTGTCCCCTCCCCCTGGGCGCCAGGGCCAGGTGGGGGCAGGTGGGTGCACGGAGCCTGGGGAGGCGAGGACGACTCTCTGGTTGCCCCCAGTCCTGCCATTCCTGGCACCTGAGAAGCCCACCCCACCCCAGGGAGGGTGAGTGAAGCTGGTGGCCCCAGGAGTGCAGAAGCAGGTGTTCCCAGCCAGGGGCGTGAGGCCCACCCCGTGAGCTCCGGAAAGATAGGGGACGAGGCCAAAAGCTTCCCACGGGGCTACCCTGCCGGCGCACCTGGCCGCACCCGATGAGAGGCTCCATGCCTCTGGGCTGCCCTGGGCTGCAGGGGAAACTGAGGCACACCCTCCTGGGGGCTAGGCCCTCCTCCTGAGCCGCCCCATCGCCTCCCCAAAGGGCCAGGGTGGTCAGTGGCCACTCCCATGGAGGGCCCCTCCCTCCTCTGGGCCCAGGCCCTGGCCACGCCCCTCCAGCCCAGAGCCCGTCCCCTCCCCTCCGGAAACTTGCTCCGACCGCGCCCGAGCCCTCACCTGGCGGCCCTCGGTCCACCCCTCCCGCTGCGCCCCTCAGATGGCTCTTCCCTGAAGTCCCGGCCAACGACCTCGGTCCAGGAGACCAGAGGTCACAGCCAGGGTGCCCGCACGGGCCAGGGGAAGGCCGAAAGCCCAGCTCCAGCCCTCCCTGGCTTCACGTGGAGGGCAAGTCCCTCGGCCGCCGGGGCCACCACCTGCTCTGGTGGAGGGCGGGCCATCTGCGGGCAGGGCACGTGGGAGCGCAGCGGGGCTGGGCCTGGAAGATGAGGGCTCTGGCGGGAGCGGGCTGCCCAGGCCTCCAGGGCCGCTCCCCACAGCCCGCAGCACCAGCACCTCCCAGCCTCTTTCTTTTGCAACAAGGCTGGTGGGTCCCTCTGGGGAGGCGACAGTAGCAGTGAGTCGAGCCCCTTTGACAGGCAGCCACCGAGCACTTCCATACAATATCTCAGCAGGCCCCTCGGGGCCCAGGCAGGCGGGACTGCTGTCCTATCTACGGAGGAGGCCCAGACAGGGGCAATGAGTTGCTGGCGGCTGCCCAGCCGGCGGACAGGGCCCCAGCTTGCCCTTCCCTGCACTGCAGTGTTGCAGGAACCGGGCCAGCACCCCGGTCCTCAGCGTCCACAGGGACCTGGGCCCCCCGGCTCTCTAACAGGGCGGTGAACAGGGTGAAGTGGGTGTGACGGTGGGATGTGGCTTCCCGGGATGTGCAGGGGGACCCTGATGGGGTCCCTGGAGCTCTGCTGCCCACGTAGGGGAGACTAGGGGTGGCGAGGGTGCTCCAGGCTCAGAGCCAGGACCCTCACTGGCCCAGGAGGTAGGGTGTCCACCCTCACTGGACACAGGGAGCCACCTGCCTGAGCCTAAGGGACCACTGAGGACCACATTGTGGTCTCCAGTGAACGTGTGCACACACATCACACAGGCCACACACGTGCGTGGGCACACACATACACCTGGCACCCAAGCACAGATCACACCACACATGTAACACACGTGCACACAGGATGTGCACATGCCACACACAAGTGCGTGCAAATGCACGCACGCAATGCACGCCATGACACACACATGCACGTTGCATGTCACACGTGTGTGCACGTCTCACGCACAGTACACATGCATGCAAATGAAAGCACTCACATGCACACATCACACGCTGGCACACACACCACACACACATGCACACGTGCACGAGGCCTGTGTGCTGTCTGAGGCTGCTCTCCTCGTTCACGCCTCCGGCGTGTTCAGGCTTAAGGCTGAACAGACAGGCGAGGCCTCTCCCTGCTCTGTGACCCACGGGGCAAGGGAGGCCGAGCCCCTGGATTTCAGGGACAGTTAAAGGCCCCACTGGGAGGGCCGGGGGGGAGGTGGACACAGCTGGCCACATGGAAAAGGACAAGACGATAAGAAAAAACAATTTTATTTCCAGTCTAAGAATGTATTACAAACAGTGTCAGGTGTGAAGAGCAACAAACGGCTTCAGCCAGCAGTGAAGGTACAAAGCGAAACAGTTACAGCTGAGCTGTGTGCGGGACGCAGCCGGCCGGAGCCCAGATCGGACGGACACGGGCCTCGCCTTCCACGCGGGCATCTGGAATCGTAGCGCGAATGGACAAACCAGGCCACGCAGCCAAAATCCATGCAGGAGAGCAGGCCGAGCCGACGGCGGAGGGCGTGTAGGAAGCGCGACGCCCGCAGGCGGCCCACCGGCAGTGCCTGGGGCCCCTGAATGCGAACGCCAGCCCGAGCCCTGCGTCCTCTGGTCCTGACCACCAGCCCCTGGCTCAGCCAACAGGGCGGAGGGGGGCGCCCGCGGCCCGCGCTGTCCCGGGGCTCCCGGCAAGTGACCCCGACCCTGCCCTTCCCCGCCCGCCCCTCCCCCTGGAGCGCGCAGGTTCAGAAAATGGCGGCTGTGAGTGAGCCGTCGGGGTCCCGGGGTCCCGAGAGCCAGACCCCCAACAGTCCCCGGGGCCTCCTGGGCCTCAGCAAACCCCCCAAAGGACAGACCACCTGTGCGCGCAAGCAGGTGAAGCCCCTTGGACACAACGCAACGCGCAGGGAGGTTAGTCTCAGGCTCCTGTTTGATTTGGGCACCTGGTCCTTGGGCTCTGCCCCGGACCCGGCCCCCCACCAGCCTCCCACCTTCCAGAACGCACTTCCAGCTGCGTCCGCGGCCCTCCCTGCAGGCTGGACCCCCAGGCCCCCAGGCCGCCCCACGGCACGAGGGCAGCCCCACGAGGGCACCGCCCACCCCGCAGCCGCCGCCCTCAGGGAGGCGCATTTACCTTCAGTCCTCCGCAGACGGGACACGCGGAAAAGAGAGCCGGAGGGGGCCCCGCGTGGGGGGCGCCCGCTTCCCAGGGCTCGCCCGGCCCCGACGGGGCCTCTGTCGCCTGTCCCCGCCGTCGCTCGCCCAGCCAGCCGGAGGGACACCCCGCCGCCAGCCGGCCGCCCGAGTCCCCGGCAGCTCCGTCGCTGGCGCTGCCCTGTGTGGCAGGGGGCTGGTCCCGGGCCGCCTGGCGCAGGCTGCGGGGCGTGTCGTAGTGGGGCCGCGGCGCGGTGGGCACCTGGTACTCGGCCGCCCCGGGGGCGCAGGCGCACAGGCCGGGCTCGGGCACCACGCCTCCCGGCAGACTGAGCAGAGAGCCCAGCTCCTCGGCCCCGCGCCACACGTCCAGGCTGCTGCCTGCGAAGGACGAGAAGCTGCCCGAGTAGGAGGAGTGGCTGCCCGTGGCGATGCCGCTGTCCGAGGAGCTCTGGCGGCCGACCTCCTGTAGCTGCCGTGGCCGCAGCGGCCTGGGGGGTGGCCTTGAGGCACCTGCTGTGGCCTCCCCGGGGGCCTGGGCGGCCGCCAGCCCGAGACCCTCCGGCGACGCACCCGCCGAGGACGGGGACGGCTCTGGCCACGGCACGAGCCGGCTGCTGGCGCTGACGTCTGAGTGGCTGGCCTCTGACGACGAGCTGGACAGGCTGCGGTCGTCCCCTGAACAGAGAGTCGGGGGCTGAGACTCCTGTGGGGCTTGGGCTGCCCGGGGTGGGCTGGGGAGCCTAGGTGGGAGCTGACGTCTAGCCCCCCCACGCCCCCGCCCTGCTGAAGGCCTGCGCTCTCCGGTCTCCAGTCGCCACCCTGGGACGGCTGATCCACACCCTGCCTGGACCTCCACGCCCAGCGTCACCCAGGATGGCCCCTTCGCCCACACCAGTCCCCGCCCTGCCGTCCCCCTGGGAACCAGACGTGAGCCCTTCCTCCGGGAAGGTGGCGGCCCTTGCGCACCTGAGTCCCCGGCTCTAGGGGCCTGGACGGAGAGGCCGCCGTCCCCACTCTGCACCCGTGGGACTGGCGACAATCACACAGGACAAAGGGCCCGCAGAGCTCCCCCGCCTCTGGCCCAGGAGACCCCGGTGCAGCCCCCCACCCACCACCCCCGGGAGCTGCAGCGTCCCCTCGAGGGCCTGCCGGCCCTTTCTGTCCGTCTCCCCGCGGAGCACAGCAGCTGAGGGGCCTCGCTCCCGGCAGCCAGCACCCCTGAGCCTTCTGTGTGGGCACAGACGGTGAAGCCACAGCCTCACCAGGCCACACCCCGGTGGCTGGGAAGGAATTCGAACCCAACCCCCCAGCCAGCACCCACGGGGCACCGTGCTTATGGTCAGCATCCAGGCCGGAGCTTAGTGAGTGTGGCATCACGAATGGACCAACAGAGGGAGGGGCATGAATGAATGAACAGGAGCTGGGAGGTTGCCTTAAAGGGACAGCTGCGGCCCCAGGGCCACTGGCCACCCCTCACGGCCCAGGCCATGGCCCTACCTGCGCTGCCCGGCCAGCCGGAGTGGGAGAGAAGGCTGAGCCGCTTCTCCAGCCGCAGGGCTTCCAGGGCCTCCTGGGCCACGCGCTCCTCCACGGCCGGGCCCCCGGCGCTCAGGTCTGCAGCAGAGGAGACGGTCAGCGAGGAGGCGGCCCCAGTCCCGTCCCCGCGGCCCACCCACTGCTCAGGACATCACAGTTACCCCAGCACTGCCAGGGCCGTGTGGACCTCGGTCCAGTCGCAGCACCACAACAGAGCCCCTGGGAGCCCCAGCTCCTCCCCACGCCAGCACCCCAGCTGCCAGACACCAAGTTCAGGGTACCCAAACCACCCCCGTCCAGGTCCCCGGCCATCATCCCGTGTCCCGGGCCCAAGGACAGCCCCCCGACCACCAGCAGATGCCCCGTGCCCCAAAGTGGACAGTCCCTGCAGTGGGTCAGGACGCTGGCACACCCTCCTGCTGATGGTGAGGCAGCAGGACGCTGGCACTGGACGGACTCACAGCCCCACCACTTGCCCTCCCTGAACCTCGCAGCCATGACTGCAAGACGCGGGAGCAGAGACAGCGCACGCCACGCGCAATGGGACCAAGGTGGGAACGCACAGGACCTGCTTGGGGCAGGGTGGACCCCGGAACTCTATCTTCTCCCCTTCCCCCTCCCCACTGTATGTGAGGCAGCTCCTGCCTCTGGGCCTTGGTGCCCAAGTGCGTCTGACCGAGCAGCGGTCAGCTTGAGAAGACACCCCCAAATCTCAGTGTTAAGGCTGCTGACCCAATGGAGGCCACATCTCAAGAGTCCCCAAAGATCACAGGCTTTCAACACGACACCGGCCAGGCTCAGCGAGCAGGGACCCACCAGCCCTGTCCACACCCCAGCTGTCCACACCTGCCCCATCCACGCCAGCCCCCTTCTGATCCCGGCCACCCACACCACTACCTGCGGCTGCAATGCGGTAAGACGCCAGCAGAGGGCGCCGCCGCACCACCCAGCAGAGCCCGGGCGGCGAGGCTCCGGTCACAGGAATTGCCTCCTTCCTCCCCATCCCGCCCCCCCACCCCGCCCCCCGGGCCCGCTTGGGGGGGTTGCGGGGCTGAGGGGCCCACGCTGGGAGAAAGGGGACCTGGCACGTCGCCAGCCCCTGTCTCCCTAGGAGGTCCACCTGCCCCCGACCTGGCTATGGTGCCCACGCAAGGAGGCCACAGATGTGAGCTCACTGACCACCTGCTGTCCGGCCACAGGCCTTGGTCTCCCACCTGGACAAGGGGACAAGCGCTGCTTCACTGGGGCGAGGGGAGTATCGGTGACCCTGGGTACCACCCACCCGGAGGGCCTCGGTCAAAGGAAGCTGCGATGACAAGGACCAGCCTTTGTCCCTGCCATGGGCTTGGGCCTCCCCGGCCTCCCCGAGGGAAGAAATGCCCAGGTAGCGTGGCCCTCCGCGGGCCAGCGCCATCCCTGGTCCAGGACTCTTGAAGAGCAGTGTCCCAGCCACAGCCAGGGAAGCGGAAGAGAAGGCCAGGCCAGCTCATGCAGCCCTGGCACCTACCAACCCGATGCGCTGAGACCCCAGCTCACAAGGCGACTTCCAGCCCGAACCCTGGCTCCCACGGAGCCAGCCCTGACCCCAGCGACCGCAGGCGAGGGCCCAGCCCAGGTCTGGGAGACGGGCTGGCTCGGAAGGTCTTCAGGGTCCCGGGCTTGGGCCTCTTGCTGGCCCACCTGGTGCAGCTGCAGTAATTGTCCCAACCGAAAGCCTCAGCCTCTGAGCGTCCCAGCAGCTCAGACCCTGTGGAACCTGAGATCAAGCAGCCCACCTGACCCTCCCACCAGGCCGGGCTCCCCAACTCCGGCACCCACCTGGGAGAACAGGCCGCAGCCCAAAGGGGCCCTTGGTCGGGGAGATGCCGCGGACAATGCAGTCGAACAGGAAACTGATCTGCTCTCCCTCGGCCGAGGACAGGAAGAAGACCCCAGCCCCTGCAGAGGGAGGACAGACCCCGGTGTCAGCCTGGCCAGAGCTCGGGTCGGTGGGGCCCCTGCAGGGCGGGCTCAGGGCCGCTGCGCGGGGACAGCCCACAGAGGCCTGAGCCAACCCGTGAGACACCCCCCCCCCGCCCCCGAGCACCGTGGCGATGTCCCCACGGCACTGTGGTGACGTGAGCCATGCAGGCGGCTCAGGCCACACGCCGGCTCTCCCAGGCCTGAGGACACCATCCCGGCCTGAGTCCAGGCTGCACGGCCTCAGCAAGGTGGGAGAGGGCGTCCTGCCCGCTGGCCCCAAGCCGTCAGCCATCTCTCGTCTCCCAGGCTGGTAAGAGGAGCTGGGGCGACTTCTGGAGGATGGAGGTCACAGAGTGGGCCGAGGAGGGCGTCCCGGCTGCGTGGAGAGCCCAGCAGCCCCTCCTTCTGGCCCGCGCTCCTTTGAGGGGTGGGCGGCGGGTGCACATCCAGGAGGGCGGCTGCGAGACCTGGTTTCCTCACCCGGGCTGTGGTGAGGGGAAGCTGGCAAAATACAGGCGGTGGCTCCTGCCCTGCAGACGAAGCAGCCTGGCCCACCTCAAAGCCCCTCCCCTCTTCCCGGGCTCGTTTTCTGGGTGGGGGGCACTGGAGCCCCTGGTGCGCAGTTGCAGGGCTGAGATCCAGCCTCGGGGCTCCCACCCACAGAGGTGATTTTAAAAGACACGTTTACATACTGAGATACGGGGAAGTCATCGTGGCTTATACGCGAGTTCACTTGAGTTTGATGCTAACTAAAAGAGCCTATTTGTGGTCTATCGAATTGCACATCTGCTTTAATTATTAGAGGAAAGGGCACATCGACCAGCAATGAAGACCGTCCACGTTAAACATGAAGATTAAATAAATGCCCCTCCTCCTTCGACGCTAAGCCTCCCTCCCAGGTGCCAAGGCCACGCTGACTCTCTGTGTACGCGCTGGTCTGTTTTTTTATTTTTATTATTTTTTGAAACCTTGAAGAAACGTCACCCTGACTTCTTTGATGGTCTTTGTTCTGACAAGATATAAAGCTGTGCTGAAAACCCTGCTTTTCCGGAGTCATCTGGGAAGCAGGTTTCCGGGCTTGTCCTCAGTTTGGCTCAAATAAAACTCTTTTCTATTCTTATTATTGATGGTTTATTGATTATTTTCGTTGACAGAGGGGAGGCCCGGCTGGGATCCCAGACCAGGGGGCTCGGCTAGAGGGGGCACGTGGGCCTGCAAGACGCCAGGGCGCAGAGCGGCCGCAGGGCCCTGCGCTGGGCCGGAGCCCCGCCAGCGTGAATGAAGTCCCGCGGCCGAGTGAATGGGGACACCGGGTCACCGGGGCTGGACGCCCGGCGTGGTGTCACCACACAGGAATCCCTCGGTGCCTCGCCCTCCTCCCTCTGCCCAAAGAAAGGCCTGCTCCCTCTGGAAGGAGGGTGCCCGGGGCAGACGGGGAAGCGGCGCACTAAAACTGTCCCGGTCACGCTCGCTGGCACCGAATCCCAGGGACCCGGGCCAGTCCCACACGTGGTGAGGCCGCCATGCCCCTGGGCGGCCACCAGGCCCCAAACCGGTGACACGCCTGCTCGAGAGGTGAGAAAGCAGACGCCCAGAGAGGGGCCACGTCCTGGCACCACGGAGCGTCTGAGCAGACGCAGAGCCAGGCCCATCCTGGGGGGCCCCCGGGGGCCCCCACGAGGCTCACTGCCCAGAGGGGCTGGGTTGGGGGATGGTCCCTCCCAATCTAGAACTCGAGCCCGGGACCTTGGCCGACGGCGGGCGGGCGGGGAGGAGGCCCCGTCCCGGCCACCCCCGCTCCCCGGGGCCAGGCCTCTAATCCGGAGCTTACAGTCAGCTGGCAGAGGCCTCGGCACAGTCAGTCCCCCGACTATAAAAAACCACATTACAGGGGGAGCGGAGCCGGTGGCATTCCACGGGAGTCTGTGAGCTCCCGAGCCTGAGCCTCACAACCAAGGGACAAGGCCTCCCGGACCCAGCAGCGACCTACCGCTGCCCCGTGGCTCCCCTCCCCACCCCAGGCTTTGGGGACAACAAGCTCCCCAGGTGTGCCCGGCCCACCTGACGCACCTCCCCCGGCGCGGCCGTCCCCCTCCACGACTCCCCGCAGCCACCCGTGACACCCCTTCGCCTGCTGAGACTCTGCTCCGGTGACATGGCTTTTCCTGACCCCTGACGGTTCACCCGGTAATGCTTTCAGGGGACACCTCCTCTGGGGCAGAGCCCCCGACCTTTTACCTCCCGGGTCTGACGCTGTCCCGGCCGCCAGGCCCAGCACCTTGAGGCAGGACCACTTCTGAGTCGTCCGCAGTCCCCTGTGTCTAACCCAGGGCCAGGCGCCCAGGAGACCCCCGTGCTCAGTGTAGATGGAAAGGGGGGCGTGGAGGCAGCCGGGCCCCCTCCCCTCCCCAGGGAAGGGCTCTCCGCATTTCTTGTTTGCTTATCTGTTTTGGGGGAGGGGAGGCAAGCTAGGGCCTAGACCCATTTTGCCACGTTGTACCGGTGTGGTCACTGTCACGACGCCCCCCCCCCCCCGTGCCTCCTCTCAACCACGTCCGTGAAGGCTCCACCCCGAGGCGGGCTCTCTCCCGGGGTCTGCGCCACAGGAAGTAACCGAGGGACGCTCCTTAGGGTTTGGGGCCGAGGCCTTAGGGGCTGGAGACCCCCACGTTTGCTCTCCTGGAACCAGCCACCCTGTGAGAAACCCGGCTGTCCTGCTGGAGGGCGAGGCCCCGGAGGAGAACTGAGGCGTCCCGGCCAACAGCCAGCACCAGGGCCCCAGGCCGTGCCTGAGGCCACCCACCAAACGCCACTGCCCGAGTGACCCCAGTACGCCATGCAGAGCAGAGAGAGCCCTGAGAGCCCTGCCCAGACCACTGACCCACAGAATCGCAAGCCAGGAAACAGCACTAAGTTTGGGGTGTCTGTCCCCCAGCAATAAATAACACGGGAAATTAACAGAAGGAGGAGAGAGTCCTGCGGAGCGGGACACAGACGCTGTGGATCCTCGGGTGCAGCAAAACTCGCCCGCGTTATGAATCTGTCCAGCCGTGAGAAAGAAAGGCCTTCCTTCAAACGTTCAATGAGCCCAGGTAGATCCCGGCCGAGTCCCATCTGAAGCTAGTCTTTAATCTGCGGCCTCCAGACCTTGGTCACTGGACCCCATTAAGAGCTCAGTCCCCAGCTCCTCAGAGAACAAGCATTCCACCCTTTGCTGACAAAGACCCCACGGTGAAGTCCAGTCGAGGACAGAGTCTGAAGGCGTTGGAGGACTTTCCTGCCGAGAAGGTTCTAGAAAGCTCAAGTCCAGACAGCACGGATTATCAGTCAGGAAGTTGGCACAGCTAACTGAGCCCCTTGGGATATTATTTTGCACAGAGTTTCCTAATAGAGTAAAACATCTGGTAATTAATGTTTCGTTTGTCTCTGCCCTTATCTGGGGAGAAAGAAGCATAGTTCAATGAAATAAGTTCATTCGAAATGAAGTTTTAAATTTCACCTGGTCATTTCATACCCACTAGGAGGACTACTACTTAAACAACAAAGAAAAAGAAAACTAAAATGAGACCGAAAACAAGTGCTGGCGAGGGTGCAAGAAACTGGGCCCTTCGTACACTGTTGGTGGGAATGTAAACCGGGGCAGTCGTGTGGAAAACAGGGTGGCAGATCCTCAAAAAATTAAACAGAGAACCTCCATCTGATCCAGCAATTCTACTTCTGGGCACACACCCAAAAGAATTAGAAGTAAGGTCCCGATGAGATATTTGCATACCCGCGTTCATAGCAGCGTCACACACAATAGCTAAAATGCGGAAGCAATCCAAGTGTCCATCGACAGATGGATGGAGAAACAAAATGTGGTCCATCCATACGGTGGAATCTGATTCAGCCTTAAAAAGGAAGGGAATGGTGACACCTGCTACAACGTGGATGAACCCCGAGGACACTGCGCTGAGTGAAGCAAGCCCGTCACAAAAGGACAAATCCTGCATGATGCCATTTATATGAGGTCTCTAGAGTCATCAAACTCAGAGATGGAAAGTAGAATAAAGGGTGCAGGGCTGGGCGGGGAGAGGGGATGGGGAGAGAGTGTTTATTGGGGACAGGGTTCGGGAAGACGGAAAGATTCTGGGGGTGGGGGTGGTGATGGGGGCAGAATCACGTGCATGAATGTGCTCACCGCCACTGAGCTACATGCTAAAAGTGGTTTAAAGAGTACATTTTGTGTTATGTGTATTTTGCCACAGTAAAACAAAAACAAACAAACAACTCCTCCGGGAAGCAGGCTCTGTCCCATCCTCGAGGGAGCCGTCTCCCCACCCTCTTCAGCCCATCCCATCCCCATCCGGGCAGGAGGCAGCCACGCAGTGCAGGCACCTCACATCCTCACGGCCGCTGCTAAATGCCAGCCGCCTGCCCTGACAACACCGCCTGCACACAGCGGGCATCTCCCACTTGGAGATGTGGGATGAGGCTCGCATGCCATCACATCCAGATGGTCCCAAGAGGCCACCCTGCAGGTCCCCAAGGACAGGAGGACACGGGGCCTGCTTTTCTGCCTAGGGGGAAACAGACTGAAGCAAAACACCCCAAAAAGGAATCCCCGAGTCTGCTGAGAGCTGAAAAGTGTCTGGTCCTGCCCCACTTAACCCCAGGGCCAGGCGGGCGCTGGGGTGGCTGGCAGCACGGCAGGGCACGCAGTGTGGGGTCAGGTCCCCCCAGGGCCAGACCTTGGCTCCAGCACGCTCAGAGGGACAGGCCAGGGCAACTCACGGACAGCTCCGTGCCTCAGTTTCCCTGCCTGTAAAATGGGGATGTGCACACACCACGTAGGGTTGGTGTGAGGACCCAGAACCCCACGAAGTATGGGGCCCTGCAGGGGGGTCTCTTGGGGTGACTATCACCCCAGCCCCATCTCTCCCTGGCCCTGTGCAATTGAGGCCTCCCTGGACACCCAGAGTGTCACCTCCCTGGAC